ATACTTAAAGTATACTTAAAAGTATACTTTTATATACTAGAATGTGGGCCAATTTAGTCCCAAGGAGTATTGAAGTACACTTACAAGTATACTACTAGTACACTGATATTTATGTATAAATACTTATGTATGTATACTTACTACATAAAGTATACTTAAAAATATACTTGAACTGTACTTAAATATACTTAATAAAATAAACTAAGTATACTACTTTTTGGTAAGGGAAGTGACGCTGAATTTCTTAAAATCTGTTCCCATGAAGAAACAAACTCATCTACATCTTGGATGAACTGAAGGTGAGTACATTTCAGCAAATGTTCATTTTTGGGCGAACTATTCTTTTACAGTCAATGTCTTTAATCATAAACCAAAATGGGGGCGCCATGTTCTCATTCCTACACCAGGTGGCGCAGCTACAACAAAAATGCATATTTAGAATGCACAAACTGCAGAAGGATTTAAAGTTGAAATGATGTTAATGCAGTGAAGTTATAAGTCAGTTTGGCCAAGATATGAAGATGAATCTCTTGCACATGAGCTTTTTTAAAATAACAAACACAAAAGAGTTCATATAGATCATAGAAAATATTTTACTAGAGAAGGTTACAAAAATCACTATACAGGATTCATAAAACATCCGACTTCAAATAAAATCGACTATGAAACATCTAAGACTACAATTTCCAATAACATACAGTGGTTTGTTTTTCGGGGAGAAGTGGGTCACTGTCAATTGTAGTTCATTAGAACAATGGACTACATCACTTACAGTACTGCAAAACGAAATGATATATCTCTCCTTCATGCAATAATCAGGGAACAATAGAACATCCAGGCACACGCATCTTCTTTTTCAAAAACGGTAAATAGATCAACTTCTTTCACATCCCTTTAAGTTCCCTTTAACAGAATTTAACATACAGCAAGAAACGGCATATAATTGGTATCAAACAACTGTATATGTGGACAATACTAACATGCTCATATTTACAGAGACATTACAGAGAAGAATTATTTTAGTTAAAAGACAGATCAATAAAAAGAGTCATATTGTAAAAGTAGTAATAGAAAGAGAGAGAGACCAATTAGGAAAAAGTTACACTGCAAAAACAAGGCTGCATTATTGACTGTAAATTCAAACCATTTTCAGAGTTTCACGTCCACATAGCAATAACTCACACAGAGGAGTCACAATCATTTCATTAAACTCATGGTAAACATCAATCTTGCCATGAGAACGAATTTTAGAAGACTGAAAAATACCTAGATTTATCAATAAAACTGAAGGAAAGTATGTAACCTGTATAGCTGATGAGGGCAGTTTACATTAAACATTATTAGTTGATAATTTAGCATTAGTTCATTTTTTTTTTATTATTAAACAAACATCTACATTTTTTTAGCCTGTCAGATTTATATCAGTCAGATAGTTTTCAGAATATCATTTTGAAGGTTGACTGCTTGATAATGATACTCAAGATTGACAGCTTTAAAGAAACATCCTTTAAAGATATTTTTTTTATTTATGTGCATGTGCATGTGTATGTGTGTGTGTGTGTGTGTGTGTGTGTGTGTGTGTTAATACACCTGCTTTCTATTACAAGATTAGTGCAATTTGTCAAGAACCGGTATTGTTTCCCCACCCCCTCCAAAAAATAAAGTAAGAAAGAGAGTTGGAAAAAGGTGAATTCAGAAATCTAAGCTAGCCATAGAGACCAGAGAAAAATTCTAAATAAACAGACATTTTCAATACACATAATTAAAAAAACAACAACAACAACATTCATTCACTTTCACACATTTATATATATATATATATATATATATATATATATATTTATAAATGTATAAAAAACCAAAAAAAAGGAAGTTCCTGCAAAATGTCTGTGAGGAGTTAGTGCAGACAGACAGGCTATCATGTAAGCAGCGCTTCACCAAGACAATGCATCATAAAACCAAACATAACCCAGTTATAACCATGACTCTACACTGTACGTACACTTTCTAGCAATTCAGAAATACTTGCAAAATGACAGTACGATACTAGAATACATACACTTTTATACCAGTGGTCTTTTGCACCATGAAGGAGATGAGCAAAACACATCATATCACCATTAACTGCATAATTCCACTCATCGTTTGTTACAGATGTTCAATGTCTTGCCTGACATGTTTCATCATGATTATAACCAACTTATCCCACTGTTATGATGTATAGTCAGGATTGCGCAGCGCTTAGCAGTGTTAGTTTGCGTATAGTGTTTCATCTGAGGGTGGCAGGTGTGTGTGTGTGTGTGTGTGTGTATTCAAGAGCAGGTTAGATAGAGGTTGGGTAGATAAGAGTTGGGAGAACTGTTTATGAGTAGGAGGAGTTTAGACCCTCCTTGGAGCGTGACTGCACATCCTGCAGCTCTTGATCATCTCTGGTTTTGATGTCCTGGTAGGCATGAGTCTGCTGACACAGTCCCTTGAGATAGGCCCAGTTTGCTGCCAGGATCATCAGGTAGTGGACCTGTGGACGGTAGAGAAGGGGAGGAGACAAACAAAATAGAAAGAGTGACAGAAAGAAAGAAAGAAAGAAAGAAAGAAAGAAAGAAAGAAAGAAAGAAAGAAAGAAAGAAAGAAAGAAAGAAAGAAAGAAAGAAAGAAACCTGCTTTCTATTACAAGATTAGTGCAATTTGTCAAGAACCGGTATTGTTTCCCCACCCCCTCCAAAAAATAAAGTAAGAAAGAGAGTTGGAAAAAGGTGAATTCAGAAATCTAAGCTAGCCATAGAGACCAGAGAAAAATTCTAAATAAACAGACATTTTCAATACACATAATTAAAAAAACAACAACAACAACATTCATTCACTTTCACACATTTATATATATATATATATATATATATATATATATATATACATTTTCAGTTTTGGGGAAAGTTACTTTTAAAAGTAATGCTTTACAATATTGCATTACTCCATAAAAAAAGTAACTAATTACGTTACTTAGTTACTTTTTATGGAAAGTAACCCCCTCCAAAAAATAAAGTAAGAAAGAGAGTTGGAAAAAGGTGAATTCAGAAATCTAAGCTAGCCATAGAGACCAGAGAAAAATTCTAAATAAACAGACATTTTCAATACACATAATTAAAAAAACAACAACAACAACATTCATTCACTTTCACACATTTATATATATATATATATATATATATATATATATATTTATAAATGTATAAAAAACCAAAAAAAAGGAAGTTCCTGCAAAATGTCTGTGAGGAGTTAGTGCAGACAGACAGGCTATCATGTAAGCAGCGCTTCACCAAGACAATGCATCATAAAACCAAACATAACCCAGTTATAACCATGACTCTACACTGTACGTACACTTTCTAGCAATTCAGAAATACTTGCAAAATGACAGTACGATACTAGAATACATACACTTTTATACCAGTGGTCTTTTGCACCATGAAGGAGATGAGCAAAACACATCATATCACCATTAACTGCATAATTCCACTCATCGTTTGTTACAGATGTTCAATGTCTTGCCTGACATGTTTCATCATGATTATAACCAACTTATCCCACTGTTATGATGTATAGTCAGGATTGCGCAGCGCTTAGCAGTGTTAGTTTGCGTATAGTGTTTCATCTGAGGGTGGCAGGTGTGTGTGTGTGTGTGTGTGTGTATTCAAGAGCAGGTTAGATAGAGGTTGGGTAGATAAGAGTTGGGAGAACTGTTTATGAGTAGGAGGAGTTTAGACCCTCCTTGGAGCGTGACTGCACATCCTGCAGCTCTTGATCATCTCTGGTTTTGATGTCCTGGTAGGCATGAGTTTGCTGACACAGTCCCTTGAGATAGGCCCAGTTTGCTGCCAGGATCATCAGGTAGTGGATCTGTGGACGGTAGAGAAGGGGAGGAGACAAACAAAATAGAAAGAGTGACAGAAAGAAAGAAAGAAAGAAAGAAAGAAAGAAAGAAAGAGGAAGAAACAGGTGGAGGGAAGGATTAGTCATGAGTGGGTTAGTTAGCCAAAGCCAGCTATACGAGTTAAGACAGTATTAATTAGTTGCTCTAAGAATCACTTAAGTACCTAAATCTCAGTGAATTATTATAGCTGCGCCACACAGAAATCAATATTAGTTGATCAGAATACACTGAAAAAATGGACCATCTTTATATTATGTTTAATAAGAAATTATATTTATTCATATTTATTATATATAATACAATATTATGAATTAATATTATACATCTTTTACTGTACATCTTTAGACATAATCCAAAATATTACATAATGTCGGCATAATAGAATATGTATTTAATTGTGTTTTTTTTTAAATATGCATTACATTTTCTATTGTATACTAAAAATATTTAAGCTAATCAGTATGTGTCCTATATATAAACACTCTGGTGTCATGCAGGGTTATTATAGTTAACTAACCCTAAAATCATATTTTTTTTGGTGACTTTAACTGATTATTTATTTTTTCTTTATTTTAACTGTACTTATTTTTACTTAGTTGCCACAAAGTAATATTTCTCATTTTTATTTAGTTTATCTTGATGTACTAAAATAGCTAAAACTAAAACGGCAATAAAAAAAATGAAAACTACATAGACATATTAAAAATAGTATCTCAATGATGCTAAAATGACTATGGTGTCCAGCAAAAATACTGTTTAAATTTTTTTTAATTAAATTTAAATTAAATTTTTACTGTTTAAAAAACTGTTTAAAAACCAGGTGTTATTTGGTTTTAGACTAACTGAACAAAACAGGTTTAAACCAGAAATTATTTCTGATTACAACAATACAAAAATGCACTTTAAATAAATGGCATGGTCGTTTTGACTTTTTTTTTCAGTGTATCCGGCATCACAGGAAATCGGGTTATTTCATGAGTTAGCAGTTAGCAAATAAAAGATGATGTAAGAAGAACTACTGATATCCAAAGAAATGTAAAAAAAAAACCTACTAAATAAAGAGAAATTAGCATCTCCACAATAATTGTTTATTTCTGATTATTTCTGAAAACAGGAACTATACTGCTTTGAGAATAATACAAAAGGCAAAAACTAAATGCTGTCTGAATTCAATATTAAACATAATATTAGACTAGGTAGTAGTCCGATGAATCTAAAAACAAAGGCTCTGAAAAACAATAGCATTTTTAGAGTCAATTCCATGACCGAAAAACATCTCATAAAGAGTTAAAAGTACAGTCACACCCTTCACAGGTACATGTAGCATAGAATAAATGTTTATGAGCATAAACACAACATTCTTAATACCTTTCACAACAGCAATTCTCATCTACTGTACTTCACTTCTCTTTTCTATCTGGCTGGGTTCTGGACTACGGGTGCCTCAGGGTGGATATGATCCAATGGAGAGACATCATTACCAAATAGTATTATTTTCTAGTTTTAATCCTGTCCATTAGGTGTTGTTGGACTAACAGAGAGTTACATTCTCACTACTAAAGTCGTTTTCTCTTAAACTGTAAATAAGCTACATTATTCTGGATTGGTCATGGGTGCTATACTTTATATGAATTGGTACCTAGGTAAAAATGTATGTAAAACATTAAGTGAGTATGATGTATTGTCCTTGTTTTGTCAAGAGATCACACCTTGTCAAATTAGTATAGAAACACAAAGATACAAATTAATTGAACATTAGACATTACCATTAATATGCACTACACTGTCTATACATCAAGGCCCATGCTATGAACTCTCAATTTATTTCTCTCCTTTGCCTTTTTCCTGACCTCTTTTACTCACTCAGGTCCTCCCTCTATCTTTCTGTCTCTGAGAGCAACTTTCACAGACTTTGCAGTTGCCCTTATACAAAAAGCTCAAAACTTAGTGGTGTGACTGTGGTCGTAGCTCTTAAACTTCAACACTGCAAAGTTATACGTTGTGGCCATCACATAGATGAGCTGAATGGAAAAGAGACAAACCAGTGGGTGAGACCAAACAGTTTTAGATGCACAATAGCAACTTTACAATAGAAGTTGCACCACATCCCTCGAAAACCGAAAGTACAGTTGTTCAATCTGTGCCTATAAAAATTCTAAACTGATGACAGAATTCAAGATTATAGCTCTATATTGTACCAATTCCTCTTCACAGAGCAATTCTTTCCTAAGCAATTTTACATAGTTTTTAACATCAAAGAAAATTATTCTAGATGCAGTCATGTGAAAAAGTTAGGACACCCTATTGAATTCCATGGTTTTCTGTATCAGGACATAATAAAAATGATCTGGTCCTTGGCAGGTCTTAAAATTTGGAAAATAAAACCTCAGATGAACAACATCACATTACATATCACACTGTGCTATTTTTCAATTAACAAAAATTAAGCCAAAATGGAAAAGCCATGTGTGACAAAGTTAGGACACCCTATGATTCAATTGCCTGTAGATCCACTTTTAGCAGCAATAACTTGAATTAATCATTTTCTGTATGACTCTCTCACATCATTCTGGAGGAATTTCGTCCCACTCTTCTTTACAACGTTGCTCCAGTTTATTGAGGTTTGAGGGCATTTGTTTATGCACAGCTCTCATCACAGCATTTCAGTCAGGATGAGCTCTGGACTTTGACTGGACTATTGTAACCCCTTGATTCTTTTATTTTCAGCCGTTCTGTTGTAGATTTGCTGGTTTTCTTTGGACCATTGTGCTGTTGCATCACCCAATCTTGGCCAAGCTTTAGCTGTCAGATGGGTGGCCTCACATTTGACTCTAGAATACTTTGGGATACAGAGGAGTTCATGGTCAGCTCAATGACTGTTGAGTTGCCCAGGTCCTGTGGTTACAAACCAAGCCCAAAATCATCAGCCCTCCACCAGCATGTGTATCTTTTGGGATGAGGTGTTTGTGCTGATATGCTCTTTAGGTTTTCACCAAACGTGGCGTTGTGCATTAGTTTAGTTTAGTTTAGTTTAGTTTTATTTAAAGTTTGACATGAATATCCGTGCATTTCTAAACTATATTAAGTTAAAATTTTTAAAAAGCTAAAAAGACCCGACTGCCAAACAGCTCAACTTTCATGCGGCTGCCCTTAAAAGAGCCACCCCATAGCACAGAAACTGCACTTGTTAAAATTACAAATGACTTGCTTGCGTCAGACCAAGGCTGTATCTCATTGCCTGTCCAATCGCTACCATTTTGTTCATTTAAATGGGGAGTCATCTCAATTATCACCAGTAAAATATGGAGTAATCTGGGTGTTATATCAGATAGCAATATCAGATTATCAGATACTGTTATATCAGATTTTGTCTTTTGAAAATCATATTTTCCATGTTACAAAAACAGCATTCTTCCATCTTAGAAACATTGCCAAGCTACGAAACATGTTACCTGTTTCTGATGCACGTGAAAAGCGCTGTACAAATAAACTTGAATTGAATTGAATTGAATGGTCTCATCTGTTCAAAGGACATTGCTCGAGAAGTCTTATGGTTTGTTCAGATGCAACTTTGCAAACTTAAACTGTGCTGCCATGCTTTTTTAGATAGAAGAGGCTTTTTTCTGGCAAGCCTTCCAAACATGCCATACTTGTCCCATATTTTTCTAATTGTACTGTCATGAACTTTATCATTTCGCATGTTAGCTGAGGCCCGTAGAGTCTGCGGTGTAGTTCTTGGGTTGTCTGCCATTTCTCTGAGTGTTACACGGTCTGATCATGGGGTGACTTTGCTGAGACATCCACTCCTGGGAGGATTGGTGTCTGTTTTGAATGTCTTCCACTTGTGAATAATCTTCCTCACTGTGGAATGATGGACTTCAAATTATTTGGAAATGGCCATATTACTCTTCCCAGATTGATAGCAGCAACAATTGCTTCTCTAAGATCATTGCTGATGTCTTTCCTCTTTAGAATTGTGTTAACACACACCTGAAGGCTCCAGACCAGCAAACCGCCAAAACTTCTGCTTTTACAGAGGTGCACACACTTGCTGATGATCAGATAATCAAAGGCATTAGATTAGCAGTGCCTGGCTGCTACTTAGTATGTAAGTACATTTTATTTATAGAGCACATTTAAATTCAGCTTACACTGACCAAAGTGCTATACAAAACAATCATAAAATACAGTAAAGTATAAAATAAAATACAAATTAAAATCCAAGATAACAATACTAATCCATAAATTAAAAATCAGGAAAGGCCATAGAATAAAGACGCATTTTAAGTCTAGACTTAAAAACCGAAATAGATAGAGCACTCTTAATGTCAGGCGGCAACTGATTCCATAACCGTGGAGCAGCTACTGCAAAGGTTCTGTCACCTTTAAACTTAAGTCGTGACCGTGGGACATATAAGTGTGACAGTGTGTGTGAAAGTGAAAGTGTGACATGACAATTGGCCAAGTATGGTTACCCATACTAGAATTAGTGCTCTGCATTTAACCCATCCTTAGTGCACACACACAGCAGTGAACACACACACACCGTGAACACACACCCGGAGCAGTGAAGCATAAAAGAGCTTTATTAGCAGATCTGAGGGACTTAGGAGCAGAATTAAATGAGATAAGGTCAGAAATGTATGATGGGGCTTGTCCATTAAGTGCTTTAAAACAATCAACAAAATTTTGAACTGAATTCTAAAGGAGACCGGAAGCCAGTGGAGCGACGCTAAAATTGAAGTGATATGATCACGTTTTTTTGCACCAGTTAACAATCTGGCTGCTGCATTCTGGACCATCTGAAAACAAGCCAGTGAAGATTGGGGAAGGCCTAGGTATAAGGAATTACAGTAGTCCAATCGTGATGTGATAAATGCATGAATAACATTTTCCAAGTCTTGAAAGGAAAGTGTTGATTTAAGTCTAGAAATGATTCTCAATTGATAATAGCTGTTTTAAACAACTGAGCTAATTTGCTTTTCAAGGCAAAGCTCAGTATTGTCAATTCTTCCACATGTACAGCACATACACACAGAGCGAGGTGGTTACTAAGTTACTAACTATAGAGTTTCTGGTTTTAGAGGAACCAAAAATAATCACCTCAGTTTTTTCATTATTTAGATGGAGGAAATTATTCGCCATCCAGATTTTAATGTCAGATTTTACTTACCCTCTTAATTCCTATGTTAACAGTAAGGGTGTCCTAAGTTCGTCACAAATGGTTTTTCCATTTTGGCTTTATTTTTGTTAAATTAATAATGGCACGGTGCAATATGTCATGTGTTGTTGTTCATCTGAGGTTTTATTTTCCAAATTGTAAGACCTGTCAAGGACCAGATATTTTAAAATTTTGTCCTGATACTGAAAACCATGGAATTCAAGAGGGTGTCCTAACTTTTTCACGACTGTATGAAATTGTTAAGAAAATATGTATGAAATGAACAAGTGAACAAATGAACATTATGAACTCTTACCAGTGCGATCACAGTGGCTCCAGCTCCAGCACAGGCAACAATATAAAGATGGTAGGACAGATAGAACTGTAATAAAAAGAGTTTAGGAAATCCATTAAACACAACTAACAGAGCTATTACAAAAATGTAATATTCCTCATTCAAAATAAACTGTACCTATTAAACCTTTCCTTTAAACAGTATATTTTTAAAGGATAAACAAGTCTTGTCAAATTAATACAAGTCAACATTCCTTAAAAAGGTACAAAAAAAGTCTCTTTAACCCTACAAAGCCTACTGTATCATATTTGATACACAAAGGACTCTGAATAATCAACATGAACAGAATTTGCTGTCAAACCTGTTGCACACAATCTACTATGTGCCTTCTGTCATCTGATTGATAATTGATAATTGTAAAAACATTCAGGTCGTGGTTCAGTTTTTTTTTTTTTTGTGAAATCTTTTCTGATTTTTATAAGGTAAACCTAAGAATTACTTTGATATTGTTAGTAACGTTTCAAAATAATAATAGTGAAGTGACTCAGGTTTACTTGATTATCCATACATCATTTTTGAAAAATCATGTTCAAATATATCAAATATGATCCATCAGGCTTTTGAGGGATGTTTGATCATCATTGCATTGCATTATATGTTTTGAAACCACAGAGCTTTCATAAAAAAAACAAAAACAAATAAGCATTTAAATCACATTTTTTTTAAATTTTGCATATAGAGTGACATCGATTTATATAATTTAATGTAAGTAGTCTGCTATACTCTTATAAAGATCTCACTGATTTACATTTCAAGCTATCAGAATTTCTTATTTTAGGCCATATAA